TTAACTGGCTTCCGCGTCTGTGACCAGTGGATCACTTCTCCTTGCAGTTGTTAACCTGTGTACAGGTAAGGGAAGAGGAAAAAGTGGCGGTTAAAGTATGAAAATTCAATTAGTTCCGGGCAGGTCCCAGACATATGTCAAGTGGGTATCCAATCGGCGTTTAAACGATTCACACAAAGTAGCCCGGATCACATCTTCAGGGAGAGCGTCCCAGGGTTTAACAACTCTTAGGGAATGGAAGTTATGCCTGACATCTAACCTGCTATATTCCAGACTTAGTTTCTGTGTGTCCCATAAGATTAGCGCTACAGCTAAGATTTAATAAGTGACTGAGTGAGCGGCCAGGCGTGCTGAGGATGTTGTGAGTCATAGGAGGATGCTTCATTGCTTTTCGATATAGTTTTTTACCCAGCAGTTTGATGCACCCAGCCGAAGATATCCGCTAGAAGAGACTGAATGTTGGTGTGAGGCAGTTATTCTTGCTCCCATATTGGAAGAACCACTCATGAAACGCACAGTGAATGCGCATTTCTTTTTAAGCATTACGTTCCACGGGCAGCACGATGCTTTGACCACGGGTCACCCCTGGAGAGTGTCCCTCTTTGAATGAGGCAATCAGCTGTTTGGAACCACATAATCGTTGCATGGATAATGTGCGTATATTACCCAAAAACTGGATTAGAGGCATTGTTCTTAATAAGTTCAGTGGCGTTCATCTGGCTGTCATATTCACATTATAAGAGGAAAGTAGTGGCATTCTATTTCTGGATGTTCTGCTGGCAAGAAGGCTGGATAGAAATATAAAAAGATTTATAGAAAGCCAACATCGGCAGGCAAGTGCAAGTAGTTCTTTAATGCTGTATCTTTCTGATACAAGCCAAGCCTGATGAAATAATTGGTGTACCATGCAGTAGACATTTGCCCTCTTGACGTTACGGAGAAAGAGTTCACCTACATGATGGGGATGGCTGCCAAGAAAAGTTTATGACCAAACATTTCAACGTCACAAAGACTAAGCCAAGAACGCTAGCAGTTCCTCAGATACATAACTTGCCGAAAATGAAACTCAAACACGACAATATTGGTCAGTTTGCCGTACGACGCACGCGGGGCGGTCCTTCAAAGAGCATTTCTGGCCGGCGAAGTGTCCCATCCCTTACAAGAAACAGATGTAGACTGTCTGATTCCGCCAATCCCACGTGCGTTTCTCGGCGTGGGGCTTGTTGCTTTCGACGTAAAAAGATCCAGGCCCATTGTCGAGCTTTTAAACACCACAGATCAGAACAACAAAAAGCTCCATACCTCATACAAGGTATATTTTATTCGTACAACCCTGGCGTAGCATACCGGAAGAAATGACAAAGAAAGCAAATAAACGAACGGCAAATACTTCGTGCTATTCGTCGAATTTTCAACTTCGTCAGGAAGGTTCTCTTCCTGGGTATGAGTCCGATGTAAGGTTTTCCGGTTGACATTCAAATCTGGCGCAGAAGGCGACTTTTATGATCACCCAGTCGGATCGCGATCCTGAAGAAAGGTCAACGTAATGAATGAATTGCCGAATCGGTCGGAGAGGTTTATTCCAGCTGGGCAAATACGGCATAGCGAAAATGTGGTGTGATAGTTTAGTCCGACGACGAAAAGTACACGAAAGTTGGGATTCATCAGAATGGAATGAGAACGAATTACTCGCCCTTTCCTTAAATGATGTTTCTGTCGCTCTGCTTATTGTGCTGTTAGTGTATCGTTCTGCATAGTTTATGACTCCGCATTTCGTTCCTGTAATCCATTTCCAAAGCTGAATGACGTTCACACATTTTAGTCGTTTTCTTTGCTGATCGTGTAAACGTTCCTCCCCACATGACCATTCATAAGCTCAATAATTTTAGGAGCAAATTTTGTGACCCTGGTCATTTTCCTGCGATTCATTGTCATACGACCTACTTTACATACTTACCTACGCCGGAAAGTTTCCGTTTCATCTCTTTTCCGGTGAGAGCTTTGCTAGATCCGCTTTTTGTCTTTCTTTTACCTTGTTTATGGCTGATCTCGTCCCGTTCACTATCTTGGAGAATCCCATGACTCTGGTTGCTTCCAAGCCCTACCTTGCGACGGTGGCCTAGATGCCCTGTCATATATCAGCTGAAGCGACGGTTTATCCGTCGTTCTGCCATTGGATTCCCGATACACCAATACCACTGATTTCGTTTCTGCTTCCAAATCCCCTTTCTCCAACAGACATTCTTTCAGGGCAAGGTTATTCCTTTTTGTCAATCTTTTGCCTGGTGGGTGTTAAGAAGTTATTATTCTACCGATACCGGCTGACCGAAGCTAGATGTTAACTTCACGCTCTCAAACTATGGGTTATGATCTGTCACTGTTATTCTTGGGATAGACTGCACATGAGGCCATCACCATACATTCTTGTGTTCCGCAAATTTGTGGGCAACAACTTCATATGTCACCTGAAAGTAGATCGTTCTCTATCAAAACCTAACCGAATTCGTTCAAATTAGTATTTGTTTCTGCTGAACAGCGAGAACCGATTTCTCCCTACCACCTCATTTTTCTGTAACTTCTGGTAGCTCGACAGTTATTTGAATATGTGGAGAGCGTGATCTTTTAGAATATGTAGCTTTTTGGCTATCTAAGGTCAATACGAAATCTGTATTTCCCGTCTGATTGCTCCATTTTGCACGTGTCAGCTTAACGAGCTGTCACAGTCAGTCATGCCTTAAACAGGTGAAGAGTAATACGACTGTTTGCAAATGTCCTGTCCATTTTCTGTCCGTATTTCATATGCCATATTGTCACAATGTCCATGTGGTTCTTTGTCCTCGGCTAATACACGCATGTAATCAGTAGTTGACTCAATGACTACAGATACTTCTGTTACATCTACCTTTTCTACTTTCTTATTTTCGTGCATGGTAAATGATTGGTAATTCCTAACCACCTTTCTATTTTTTGGCGCTATTAACTGCATTCGCCTATCTCAAGAAAATGACACGACCACACATCCGTGCAACCTCTAACGAGTGGTGACGTTCGTGCACCCATGCTCTGATGTTGCTCTTTCAGTTCTAATAGCAGTGCTCACAACCCCCAAAAGGAAGCATTCATCTTTTCTGCTCACTTGTGGGGCTACCATTTGCTATTGTGAATCTTCAACCTCTTTCTTCGTGACAATTACCTCTACAGCTCCGGCGCCATTGCCGTCGAGCCCATCAACTGTCATGAAACGTTTGTGGGTCTCCAGTTCTCATCAGGTAAGCTGTGTCCACAAGCTCCAACTTTTAAGCACTAGCTCCCTGCATACCCTCCATAAACTGCGCCGGGACCATTTCCGGTTCTGACTCTGCGCCGTTTCTGGATAATGCAAAGGGGCAAACATTGATGAGTTCCATTGCTACTGCTGGCAGATCTTCACTCAGTGTTGGCCTTACATTCCTGAGCTCTTGAATAATCTCCTTGCCCTCCGGTGAGCCAGCAAAATGTACGCAATCTTCCGCACATATGCACTCCCCGTTATGCTATCTCAACCTCCTCAACAAGGTCATAAAACCGTCATCATCCTGCACAGCTGCTTGGTATTCGTCAGCCGCATAACTCCCACAGAATACCCCAGGAACACCTGAGCATCTTAATCCCCTAGCACCGCAGCCCAAGGTATCTTTATTTGGAAGATAGCAGATAAACTAGTGAGGAGAACATATCAATGAAAAATATTGCTGAAAAATCCCAATTGTTGCTGTGATCACGGGCGGCAGATTTGCTCCAAATATTGCCAAAATAAAAACTTGCCACTGCGCGTAAACCTTTCATCAAAAATTTACCTATAATACAGTAAACAGAAGTTCTATAAACAAGTAAAGATCCTTGTCGACTGTTTTGTAGCTGGAATCTGCAAAACGTGGAATTCCTCGAAGAAAAGGTTTCGTGTTGTTCGTTTTCTTGATGCTTTCGAAAAAAATTGAACTTCCTTTGAAACTATAGAATCTATATGGGCTGTACTCCCGATACTTCTCAACCCATAGCGGTGGAACCAGAGGGGAACCATAGATGAAAACATGTCGCTCCAGATATCTTGAAGCTGGATACGGAACTGTGATGTCATTCGGAAAAATATCTCCAGTAATACAGACGTACAACCCAAAGAGTAACTGTTCTCTAAGTTTGCAACGGGAATTATATCGTTAAAAACGGTGAAATCAATAGAGTCTAAGCGCTTTAGTAGGTGTTTTTGCGAGATTTTCAACAACTTCATTCCACCTCACCCGGAGCTTGGGACCATCGACTTCCCGTCTACTCTGCAGAAGGACATTAAGCTTAGGACGCATCTAAAGGCGCTCGACCAAATCTTTTCGACGACTGAGATCTAAAAACATATGAAGGACTACTGATTGCACTTGATCTATCCTGCTGAATATCGAAGACTAAGGGGAGATTCGACAGTGGCTGACAACATCTTCAGCGCCCCTCAACATCCACTCTGTCACTAGTTGGATCTTAGTCGTAGCATCCATCCTAGATGACATATAGAAACTAGGCCTAAAGTATAGCAGGTTAGATATCAGGCACAACCTCCGTTGTCTAAGAGCTGTTAAACCCGGAATGCTGTTACCGCAGGGGTGATCCAGGCTACTTCGTCTGAATCTTCTAAACGCCGGCCTGGTACTTACTTGAGGTGTGTATGGGAACTGTTCAGACGTGACTAAATTTTCACATTTCACCGCCATGTTTTGCCCTCTGTTAAATCTTACACAAGTTACTGACAACAAGAAGTAGTGATTGACGGATTTTAAATGCGGAAGTCAGTTAAGTGAAAGCTTCTAGTTTGACAACAAACATCCGAACCATCTGAACAGTTTGTAGTACATCAAAACCTTTCATGGTCACTTAAAAGCAACATTCATTAGATTTGCGGATTTCAACTTCTTTACTTATCCTATTACTTGAAAGTGGTATTAACAATTAGCTTCTGTTTGTTTACCTCGTCCACTTGTACAATATTTCGCGCTGCGGGAACTTCGGCATCCTTCTCTTTATGGCGTCCGTCTATAACTCAGATGATGTCGATCCTAGCAGACTTGTAATAAAAGTATGGGAATTTTTCGCGAGTGCTGCATCTGGTTTGTGCCAGCTATACAAAGGTATATCTAGAATTGAAATCTGATAATATCTTCACAGGCAAAATAGATCGTTGTGCTGACCTTCAAAGTTTACTGGATACACTGTCTTCGATAGGAAGCTTCTACCAAGGTGTGTATCCTATCATCCCTCATACCTTCTGTATTGTAGTCGAACTTTTTATAGTAGCCGTTGGTTCTTTTGGGGAGAGATATACCTAATAACCTAACTATTTTAGACATCATCTGGAGTACTACACATAGGCACCCGGTCCTTGCTTCAGGTAAGAAGCACACACTAGAACGGGTACAAAGGGTAGGCTCTAAGTTGGCAACAAGACTTTTGCACCTCCCATAAGAAGACGGTTGGACAGTGTTTTCCAATTATCTATCAAAAGGTGGGGAAAGGGATCTTATGCTATATTGTCTTGTCTTGAAAAAATGATTCGGGTGTTGATCTCTCTTATCTCCCGACATCTACAACTAGCCATCTAAGAGGTCACTACAAAGGGTCCACAACTCACAGTCAAATAGACTACGGTTGGGAATCTGATTCTTTCAGAGAGTGGCCAGCGCTTGGAACCCATTACCTAAATGTAGGATGGCTGTTCCTTCGATGAGTACTTTAAAGAAGAAACTTCGTCTTCGCGGGAATTTGTACTGCTGAGAATAATACAGGCCTCTTGGAATACTATCAATAAACCTGAAAACTGAAACTAATGGTCTTGAAATTACAAAAGATCGCATATTTACCTTTCAGTGAATGTTTAGAAAAAGTAATATTTGTTATTTAAGTTGTTTAAGACTCGAAGTTACACATATTTGGAAGCCAAAAGCGGGTCAACTCCCACTTTGACGGAGTGACCTCAACGAGAAGTACATCCTCACTACCACTTTAGTCATGGAGGAAGTTCGCTTTCAGCTGGTTAGATGACATGGCGAGGCCATGAAGAATCCATTTCAGCTGGTTGCAGAATAGTCTTAGTGGCCTTTTAGCCCGAAGATGTGGCTTCAGTATTCCGTAATTAGGACAACAAACCTATTTCGTCATTGTCATTGCTTACCGCTTTTTGGTGATCTGAATTTGGTTATATGCGCTGATACAGGTTCACAGGCTGATTCACAAAAATCAAACTGAAATACCATCCTCAAGTAGATGTCCCTTGGACTCTGCGGTCACTTACTAACCCTTCTTTTTTAAGTGCCTCAAGAAGAACCCACCTTCCATAGGGTGAGCAACCTGAAACAACCAACCATCGTCGCCACTCTGCCAGTGCTCACTGTCCACTCTCCATATCTTTACCTTCAAATCTTTCACGTCAGTTAATTTCGTCTGTATGTCTTCCTTAGAAAGCATGCAATGTTTCCTCAAGACTTGGGCATGTCGTGCTCGGAACCTCGCTTTTAATCCGGTATTTCTTACTTAAGAGCTAATAAGGAAAGTGAATATGACAATTACCGTGAAAGACTGCAGTGGGATGCCTTGCTAGTATTTGGAACGATAACAAAGATCATACGATGAAGATAAATCATCCAAAACGACTCAGCCTTGATTACTTGGTTCAAGATTTAACCCCTTAAAGTGGTCCTCAATGCATTAGTGTGTCCTAAAGAGCTAGATTGCTAACAAATGCATCTGTCAATAATCAGAAGCTGTCCCAGATCACCCACGCCATTGGAGACAAGAAATTTAATCTCTGAGATAGTTTGCTGATCATCAGCCTTCGTACCCTTCTGGATTGCTGAGCGAAGAACTTGTAGTTAATTACCTGCATTCTCTACACATTTACTTTCAATGGTCATGTTTCACAGCCGTATAGTGACAGAGAATTATTCCACAGTATACTCATCTTTTTAATGGATAGTCGAGTGCCTCTCTGGCGCCACAAACTATTATTTGGCTACTGACGAATAGACCTTTTGTATTCGGGATAGGCTACCAACTAACTGGAGCTAATGAAACTCTTTCAAGTAGAGCAAGCATCGCCTAGCTTTTAAAGGGTATGAAAAGCGTCCAAAGCGTCCAACGTCCGCTACTGGCGTTCAGATGACCCTGCATTTTGTCAGCACCTTTGTTTAACAGGATAATTTCGTCTTCATACTCAAGCTTCACTGCGTGCTTTTTGGGTAATAAGCGAATCCCTGAAAGCTGTATGTACTTGGCATTACCCCAATCAGGACAAGTTAGAAATTTAGAGAAAAATGACAATAAACGTACCTGTTGGACACTTCTAGTCATCCTTACTTCGAACGGTGTTTCTTTCTACTCTTACGCGTTTGCGTAGGTTCGCATGGAGAGCTTTCATTCGCACAATATATTTGCTCAGTACTTCTCAATTAGACGCCGTCTCAGTCTACAGCAGGCCAGCGCCACCTTTCGGTCTAAAATATAGCTAGTGTCGAGCTCCTTAGTTTCAAAACCTAACTTTGAAGATGTAATTGATGCACCCTTCAGGTCTGAAACTGCCTTGTTTCCCCGAGTTTAGTGTTTTGAGCTTCAGTTAGGCCTCGGATACTGAAGACCCTTGGATGTATTGTGATGTTCGTTTACCAGATCTCCCCGTGGTTATCGAAAGAGGACTTCTCTCCTTTCTTATAAATTGGAATAATCAATAGTCTGGGCCAGTTTAGTGTGACTACCTCTGATTTCCATAAATTGATTAGCACTCGCGCCAGTCTTCCTTGTAATTTTTGACCAATATCCTAAAACGAGTTGATGGCAAAGAATCGGGTCATGCTGCCTTTTTAGGTTTGAAACATGCTTTCCAACTTCAAGAAGGGTTTGACGGCCAACATCTGCTTCACTTTAGGTTTGGACAACTGCAGCTTGGCTGCAGGCCAGTTGAGCTGTGATGTAGTATTCTGCCAAACTTAGCTGTCCTGTGAGGTTTTCAGAGTCCGATTCCTCTTGGTGATGGTCTGACTAACCATAGTCTTCTTTTTGCCATTATCTTTAATAAGCCTAAATACTGATAAGTATCACCTAATGCTGATACTTTCTTCATCTCCTTGGCTTTCACCACTTACCATTGCTCGCGATCATTGCGAAGAACTTTGGTAAATTTACGTTTAAGCTGTTATCACTCCTCCTTGTGGTCAACGGGTTTACTTACAAGCTGTGCATTCGTATATACATGATAGTTGACAGATTATATCCCATGAGGGGATTTAAATAATGGGTGATAATACTAATAGTAATGATGATGAAGGTACTTGTGATTATGATAACCGTTTGTGATAACAAAGTAGATTATGTAAAATAACCAATCGTTTATAGAATGTATTTAACTCAGAAAGATGTGTAAATTTGATGAAAGAGTTAAATCAATAGTGTTATGCAACAGGAATGCATAAGTTGGTCGAAATAAAATCTATGTTTCCTGAAGAGATTGAAACGATTAGGTGAAATAACACCGGAAACTATTCAAAGTGAATGTAATAATAATAATAATAACAGTGATAGTGTTAAAGAAAAGGTGCAGCGACTAATTTAGCAAAAGATGGATGGATGTCAGCTCATGATCCATGCTTTTGTCATTAACTGGATAATAGTGAGCTGTGATGGAAAGCAAAATGTTAAGAGATAGAGAAGTCATTGGGGATAGATAGTTGTTTATGTTTATTCATAACATTGCACACAGTGTTGTTCATCGGTGATATTGCTGATTCCTATTTAAACATATAGACGTACTTGGTAAGATCATCGTCTCCGTCCAACATTATGTGAACTGTGATTCCGCGACTGACTTGGACCAAGTAAAGACGCCGGTAACACAACGTCTTTTAAACATTTTTCAATATGTGATATGCACATCATTAGTATTAGCGTACATCGATACCTTGTCTGTTAGTTGGAAGCGAATTGGTTGAATGCGTTAGTCGTTCCACTCACTTTGATAGTTGCATCAACCTTGGTGGATCAGTAGCCGACCAAATCTCGGTACAAATGTAGAATACTCAACTGACTGTTTCTAATAGAGCTGATGAGATATGCGTTTGCCTGTTAAGATTTGCGTTCTGCGAAAAATTCCGCTCTGTCCTACTGAACAGTTGTGCAATATGACCATTAATTTCGCAGATATCGTAAGGCTTATAGTATCATACCATCATTACCCTCCTAGTACTGCACATATGGTAAAGTCAAAACAGGTAGTTTAGAATCACAGCGTAGGTTCTTAGGTAAGAGAGACAAATTAGTCGATAAGATTGTAAACCGCTGACTGAAATAATGAGAACTTTAACTATGCATTTCAAATAACAGCTCACCATATCGTGTTAAATGAGGTAGTGTGAGTTTTAAAATTATAGGTAGCGGGATAAAAAGGAAACATAATTCCTTGACGCCACTGACTATAGTTCAGAACTGCGTAGAAAATAGCTCTTCGGGTTGTAGTTTATTAGACCACCGAGATCGGTGACATGGAGACTAGTTGACATAGTTTGGAAACAGTTGCAGTCGCAAAGATACATTCATGCTCTACCTTGGTGTAAATTGAAAGGTCTTTTTATGACGTCTGATGCTATCTTCGTCTTCTGTTTTCCCTTTTCTACCTTGTAATGATAAGTGCGGCAGGTTAGACCATTATCCAGTGTTCACTGGTCCTATGTTGGTCTTACCCTGTCTCTACTGCTCGCTTCTTATGTTTCCATATTGGATAACTTTCATTCTAAGAATTACTCTTCTGTCCTGAATCACTGGTAGTTTTCGCCCTCTTGAAATATTAACGAGTCCGCTCGAAACGTGTGGTCCAGACACTCACTTATGTAAATAAACTAGGTGCTGAAAGCTACGATCTGTGTTAACACAAATTGTCACCGTTTTTGAAACTGCATTCCTGTATTCATAGTACCCAGCTGTTGGATTATTGGTTTGTGGATTGAACTTTAACCAATTAGTCGCGGGTTCGAATCCCACTTTGCCCACCGAAGCTAGGAAGACTAGGTGATCTCAGCTTTCACACAATAATTGCGGCTCGTATCGTAGCACATCAACATACATGTGTTTGCTAGGCTGAACCTATACACATTCTCCTGTTATTGAAACTTGATATGATCATCCTTCACTTTTCCTCTTTAATGGTTATTGTAACTCTTCGGTTCTATAAGTGTAACGTTATCTTTCTCTCTTCCTACGGATGTTTATATTGTCTAACACTGCGCATATTCTACGTTAATTTTTTTAATCTATCTATTTGAAGTTCATTTAGCTGTTCTTCCGATCGTTTTAGGTTCTCAGAGCTCTATAGAAGCTGCACTAAGCTATGGAAAAAGTGTCGGATCACAATATCTACGCCTTCATTTGCGGGACCTAGCTTACGAGAATGTAAAGACTTCTGGAAGTAGTAATGGAGTAGAATTTTACGTGCCTTTGAGATCGTTTCTTAGCAATACAGAACAATTCAATACCTCCGGAAACCTTTTAAGGAAACGTCCACGCCATTGTGCTTATTGTCCACGTAGATCAAAGCGAATCGCGTTGGATCACTGTGTTCTCAAGCGTTGCCAACGAAAACGTTCCAAAAATAGAGCGTTATTTCCTATTTTGAATACGATTTCAGCTGATCCACATCTGTTTAGTGTGATTGAAAGTCTGAGTGGTGGTGAACCGGTTGGACATGAGACTGATCTAGTAGGATCAATGACATCTGGTCCACTGTCCAATTCTCAAGGTGAGTTACATTTTTTTGTTCTGGTATGTGATTGGCAATACACTTACACATCAACAAGGTTCAGAGAAATGTGAAGAAGACTAAATTTCAGTCTTACCCATCCACAATTTCTGATGCCACCTAAAACTTTTAAGTATGCAGTAAGTACTTGTGGACGTTGTGGTTGTGCATATTCGGGGTTCACTAAATCAAGGACACAATGATGAAAAAATCCTACTTTCGACGATTTCACTTATTAAAGACATACGATCGTATTGAAAATCATCGGAAACAAATAAGTCAATTAATAGAAACAGAGGATTACCATAACATTGTAGAGTAAAATAAAGTTTCTGAATATAGAAGAGATTTACTACCTTAGCTATGGTAAAACTAGTGGCTGTACGTAATGTTTTTGAATTCAGAGACCAGGCTTACACTTGTGGATTTCCAGTGATTCGACTGGAAGTCGAAATGCATTCAGCAACATTATGAACATTCGTGCAGTAGGCGACGACTCAAACCTATTGTATGCCAGCTAGGGATACTACCTGGCTGTCAAAACCTCGGTAAGTAGGGTGGGACTTGAAGCAGTGACCCACTGGTTGTAAGCCAACTCTCTAAACCGATGAGTCACAATTGAAAGCTACGGTAACAGTATCATTAGCCATCACACAATACGTGTGACTCGTCGCGTACTGCATGAATAATTCGGTTACTTTTAGATGACACTAGGAGGGCTTTGAAATCATATGGAGGCTCATTCTGTAAATTACTTTAAATGAACTAGAAGAGACCGAATGTCTGTGTTGAAGAATAGAACTATTGATATTTCTCTCTTCTCTGGATAATCAAGTTGCATAATGTTCCAAAATACACTTACAAACTTGACGTTGTGTACAGCCAATGGATGTTGATCCATAAGAAAAAGGAAATTAGTAGATGAAAATTAAGATAATTTAAAGCAGTATTCTTCCCTTAACTCATCGATGGATGAATTGTCTACTGGAAATGTGATTCCCAGACTAGGTGCGTGCGATGTCTTCCTGTAAGATATTGAGAAGTGATTTTTGGGAATTTGAGACTACTGGTCACTTATTTATATGTGACTTTCCATATTGCATGCGGAATAACTTCGCATTGAATCATATATGCGAAAGGGGTAGTTGCTGCTTGATAATATGCAGCCTAAATGCTCCACACAACTAGGTGTTGCTCAAAGCTTCACTTTCAAGCAACTATTTAACTTTCAGTGCTAGAGGGGCAGTTAGTCAATATCAACATGGGACCTGACATCCCTGTGTAGCGGTACGCTTACACGCATGTTTGTAACATTAGAACGCGTAAGCAGCAAGTACTGAAATATATATATCATAGCTCCCACTCAACTGACTAAGCAAGCTAATCAAACATCAAATAGCCTGATATCGAATAGACAGTGAGAAGAAACTCGAGAAAATGTATTATAAAATATTAGTTACTCATGAGTAGTTTTATCAGCAACGTCAAATAAATGTTACAACACTACTGTGTTGGTCCTAAACCGTATTCTTTGCTCTTTTACTCTTGTCGCTTTAGTACCACTGCTTAGAAATGTGTCCATGTTTTTATATCAGAAATCATAATTACGGTCCTTAGGGTTAACATCTATCCAACAGGGCAAGAGGTTTCTCCGCATAGGCTTCTAAAGCTTGTTGGTTGTGCTCTTGCCAACGAAGCTAGCTTGCTTAGGATTGATAGAGAATATTACGCTACTTAAATCTTAGATATCTCTTCGTGGACGTTTCGTCACCAGGCTTGATGCCGAAGATGTCACTAAACCTGGCGAATCAATGTCCACGATAAAATATCAAATCTCACAGAAGACCAAATCACCATCTTATCCTACAAATTTTTTCCATCGCTACTTAAATCTTTGTACAGCCATTCATGGAGTCACATTCCATTATAGAGGTACGTGCAGGGAATTAAAGGATTGCTGTATATTCACTAAGTCATTGGTTTCAAGTATTTGAAGTATCTAAGCATATGGTGTTTGCCAGTCAGATTGTGAACCTAGAAAAATCGAAACCTTGTCTTCATTCATGCAGTTGGAAACGAGTCGAACTTAGCGTGTAAGGATTGATGATACTACCTGGTTCTTCAAACCTCAGTAGGTAAAGCAGTGTTCGAACACGTGACTCACTGGTTGTAAGTCATCTCCCTAAATCATTGAAACACAACTCCACAAAGACTTAAACAGGGTGGAGTGCCGGGATTGTGAACCCACCGAACTGATAGGTGGCTTAGGCGTGTGTTGTGATGGGATCACCGCCAATTCTGACCAGTGATACTTGCTGGAGTAAGGTTTATTTGAGAAAAGTCTAACAGTGGCCATTCTGAAACAATGAAGCAAATCTCTGACCTGTGCTTCCGTTCTTGTAGACGACCTTTCTTAATATCCCAAGAAGCTAGTAGTCAGTCTCTGCATGCCTCCAGTTATGCGGATCTAAGTGTATCGTTACTTGTGTTTAGCTGACTGTAATCGCTAGCTGTAACAGTTGCTGAGTTATCGACCACACTGAATATTTATGAGCCGCATAAATATCAGTTAGTCAGCAGCAGCATAAGACCTAGCACTACTGTCCAAGTTACCTTTATTTCATATCAAAACATCAAGGTAATAAGCACGAAGATCACCTTGTACTCTCATCAACTAACTTAACTCTTCTGCCTAAATCTGTACGCGTGACTGCTACATTACTGATGTTGTGCCGCAACGCAACGGTGGCCAAACACTTGAAGCCCCCCCCCCCATGTCCTCTAGTTTAGAACAGAGCGAACTGCAGCGTAGCCTACATGATCCAATAAGTGATTGGGTATCACGGTAGCGACAACGATAGTGTGATTTGATGAAGAACAAATGAAGAGTAAATCCCATCGATCACTGACTCATCACGGTTGACCCAACTTCCCAAATATGTAGCCGACTGGTAATTACTGTCTTGACGTGCTGGTGGGGCTTGCATATCCCAATGATCAGGCAAACTATGCTGGAGGAACACCTGCTCCTTTGAGGTCCCACTATGCAGAAACGTCAGTTGGATAGTGGTAGAACAAGAAGCAGTTACCATTATGGTGTTAATTATCCTTCTACAATGGTGAAGTTGTGCTGTTGGCTTGACCGGGAATGACAGCAGTTTGGTGTTTCTTGAATTCAATCAACAGTACCATGCCAATGCTGCCTTCCTTGTGAGAAGGCAGACAGGCAAATGAAATCAACAAAGAACCCCTCACACAAGTTCATCATTTCAAGTTGTCACACTTCACAGTAGTATACAAAGAACAAGTGGATAGAGAACTGATATCAAAGTAGGCGAAGGTGTATGGGACGAGTCGAAATTTAAAAATCTAGGTTAGCCAATATGTTCGGGCTTTTGAAGACATCGATGAGTGAATACATCTGCGCTACTGCGACTAATTTTCAGCCGTTTCACCAAGAGTTCTCAACCACTGATTACTGCCTTCCCGAGGACTCAAATCAGGTGGTCTACACGACACACCAACAGTCAGAGACCTTATAGGTTGATGTCACGTCTTGGACTGGCTAGTCTGGGCCTTCTTCCAATGTAATCCAACTTCTAGTATCGTGGCACGTCAGGGTGGCTGGTAGCTCAGCATGCATAGCACATGTCCAGTCCGAAGGTTCACAACCCCATTAAAATGACTTACCTGCCTTGCCTAGTACTCTTCGCCTAACTTTGACATTGCTCACAGCGTGATTGCACCATACACGGGCAATGCTAGGAAGACACCTGTGATAAAATTGTGACCGCTTCATATCTTCTACTTTTAATGGCCATGTCTCACAGCCGCATAAAAGAACAAAAAAGACTGCATTGCAATGCACTCGTCGTTTAATAAATAGTTGGATATATCCCTCCAGTCTGTGCCAGAGATGACGCAAGTTGGCAAATGCTAAACAGATTTTCTGTGTTTGAGATGAGATTCCCTCAGCAACCAGCCCTTTTGAGTTGATTTAACTCTCTAAGTGGTCGACACATCCCAACACTTCACTTCCCATCCTTAAACTAGGAGTAGTCTCAAACCAGTCCTGAAGCATCATACTACATTTGATAAGGGCAAGACGCATGTCAAACGTACTCAGACTTCTGCTCAACGCGTTTCAAGACCCTGCATTTTGTCAGCGTCTTTACCTAGCAGGACGAAATCGTCTGCGTACTCCAAGTCAACCAGACGACTTCCAGGAAGTAGATCAGTCCCTGAGGAGTCAGACATACCTAAGGTTATGTACATTAATGCATCTATGACAAAGTTGAGTAGGAACGTTGACAATGGGCATCCCTGGTGGACTCCACTAGTTGTCATCAGTTCACGTGACAACTCGCCATATAACCTTACATGGCTACGGGAGTTCAAGTAGAGAGCTTTATTTAACGTTATATACTTACCGGAATTCCTTTCAAAGTCAGACACTGTCACACATCTGTCGACAGAGTAGAAAGCTTCCTTCAGGTCATGAATTACGGCAAGTGTCTGGCACTGACTGTGGTAGGTACACCTGTGTTCCAGAACTTATCGAAGGGGGAGAATCTGATAGATGTTTTTGTCAAGCTCCAGTTATGCGTCGATAAAAGGTCAATACACTCACTTCTACCCCATGGCATACTGGTGTCACAATGTGAGTTAGGTAGATTCATAAAAAAACTAAAATCTCAAACTTCTGAAGAACCCGTGTTTGACTGATCTCAAACGGATGTCCCTTGGGCTCTATAGTCATCTCTTTACATTTCTATTTCCGGTACTTCAAGAAGAATCACCCTTCTATGTTGTGGACAACCGAGAATTGTCAGTTACCCTCACGACTGTCAACACCAAAGATCCCTCAGATGACTTCCCATGTTCCACATGCTTGCCTTCTAATCTTACTTCACGTCTGTGGGCAAGTGTTCCCCTATCATTTTACATTTCTCCTAGATCAGCATTTGGTAACTATTTGAAGTCGCAGAACAGCTTCCCTGTTTTTAAACTCCACATCAATACTTTCAGTGTCCGCGCTTTGTATCAATCTGGTCAACAAGCTTCGCTTACCAAAAGTCTGGCATCTCGGGCTATGGATTTGTGCTCTGTTTGTGAGACACTCAAAGAGGATTCAAGTGCGGTTATTCACTTAGCCTAACCCAGTCAATATGGCGAATTCTCATAGTTTACCCTTCAAGTTTCCGGATATTTGGTGGTATTGTAGATATAGGTGTAGCATTAGGTACTAAGGCACAAAGTACACTGCTCGACTGCATCCCAGCTGACAGTCACCTATGTGCTGTTAGACTAGACGGCACAATAAGGACTAAAAGGAGTGGTGGAACTCGTTGTCCTCTTTGTAATCTCTGCTTACACATCGATTAAAAATAAGTCGAATGAGTCCCATCGAAAACTATCTAGCTACCTACTGTGAAAACCAAATGTCCAGACGTGGTTATTGTGGTAGGTGATTTCAGCGGATAAGTGGGTAGGCACAGACAGACCATATTGCAATCAGTCATCGTCGGAGAATCGGTGAAAGATTTCTACTCCTCCCACAACGTGTCTAAATAGCTATCAAGCCTCGGTTCTAGCATGCGTATATATGCTCCAAAATGGACGTCAAAACACTACAGGACCAAGACAGTTACGAGTGCTTCTCAACGACGAGGACGCTAAAGCTGGTTTTAGGTGAGAAACTGACTAGACGGTTGTCACAACATGACTCATTCTGAAGAAGCCTGCGGTCACCTTCAGTTTACTGTAGAAACAGCGTTAGAAGCCGTAGTTGACCTTTGGAAAGTTGTAAGGAAAGGACAGTGGATTGCAACGATCTCTTCTGAGTTAATGGTTGCACGTGAGTGCATTTCTGCAATCTCCGAGCACAATGAGGAGTTGGAGCAACTCAAATGTGGACAGAGAAGTCTACCCAGTGACCACGAACAGCAGTGGGTAGAAAAGGCGATAGGTAAGAGAAGGTAACTTTTTAAACCCATCAAGAAACTGGGACGAAAGTACTAACTATTAGTCAAACAATAGAGGATGATCGGTCGGTGATTTACTCGTGTGAAGACGACTGAAACGATGGGCGGAATACTTCGAGGAATAATTCGACTGACCTCCAGCTTCTATTTCATTTTCAGTTATCTAGTAGGATTCTGAATGAAACATTCAGATAGGACCTCCAACACTTACTGAAGTTGAGTAAACTGTAAATAATAGGAAATAAGGAAGCGCAGCAGGTCCATATGGACTAGTACCGGAGATACTGAAGGTCGGTGGCCGAGGATTATTGGTCAGATTAACTGAAGTGTTAGCTAGTGTGTGGAAGTTAGATGTGATCCCCTCTAAATGGTTCCAATCACTGATTGTTCTGGTCATCAAGAAAGGGGAGAAACATTCTTGTGACAACCACAACCTGAGGAACATAATGTCTAAGATTCTTAGTTCCATAATCGTTAGAGATCTGAGTAGAGCCCGGGAGAAGCAAACGAGAGAAAACTAGGCACGTGTGTCGACCGGATATTCACTCTTAGTCAGGTTTTGGAACACAGGCACACTTACTGATGTCCGACACTAACTGTATTTCCCGATTTGAAGACGGTATTCAAACGCGTTGATTGAGAGGTGTTGAAGCAATGTCTCTCACTGAAAAGAGCACCGAATAGATACACCATACTGTTAGAGACTGCACCCGAAAACCAATCGGGGTGTTACAGTCTGAGGTGAGTTATCGTGTGAGTTGCGTATCTCGAGGGGTTTCTGTCAAGGATGTTCACTTTATTATTATCCAACTTTATCACATACATACTTATTCAAGTTTTCTTCTCACCAGCTGACTTCACGGAGATTGATATTCATCACAGGAGAATTCTTGGTAGAACTGGAGTACGCAGATAACATAGTCCTATTAAGACACTGACAAGATTCCAGTCTTCTGGACACCTTGAGTGGCGGCGTGGGAATGTTCGGAATGTATTTCTCGCCACCCATAAGCAAATTGTTGCTGCAGAAATGGTCTCCTGAGGTGCCACGGCTAACAATAGAGTGAATTAGTTGAGTGCACTGAACAATTCACGCATCTGGGAAGTCGGACCAACCCCGTTGGGTCAGTGGCTGACGAAATTTCTGTATGGATACAAAAGACTCAAGTGGTTATTGTCAGCTTACATCATCTGTGAAGCTGCTGCGATACCCGACTGTCCATTTAGGGTCTAGTGCACTGTGCTACAGTTTGCTCTGTTCTATTATTTGGCTGTGAAACAAGGCCATTACAGGTAGAGGACATCAGAAGACTTTAGGTTTTTGCTTACCGTTGCCTTCATAGATTAGCCACATCGTGATGTCACGACGTTGGAAATGCAGAAGCCGGGTCTAGAGTTTTAAGAAGGAGAAGAAAGTCAGTTGATGAGGTCGTGAACCTTCACCGGCACAGGTGTTAAGCATATCTAGTCACCGCTTGACTCGTCGCACAATGTTGGCTGAAACAGGTTTCGGCTGGACAAATGTTAGAGAAGGCCAGAATAATATATGGCATCAGTGCGTGAAGTCTTCCCAGTTGGGGTCTACATGATAACAGGAACGAGTAATTGGGGACTCTAGGTGGCATGGCTCAGGATCAATCTATCCACATACTATATTTATCTTACTCATCATGGTGTTTGGTGAAATCCCCGTGTGAGAAATGCCGAGGTCAGGTGAAGGGTACTAGGCAAGATAGGTAAGTCGATTGATGAAGTTGTGAACCTTCATCGACCCAGATGACTTGAAAATGAATGCCGCATATTGATTCACCGCTTACCTCGACGTACCATGCTAAGGGAAGCTAAATTAGGTTGGGAGAGGATTTTGGGTGGTCAGACCAAGATGTGGCATCACTCTATGAAGTCCCTAACAGTTCATCTGAACCGCGTGTGGAAATAAAGACTACCTGAACAGGGCCCCGAGACAACAGAAATCAGAGGTTAAGGACTCTTGGTGAAATGGCTGAAAGCCGGTCACAGTGGCGCAGATGTATTCACTTTTCGATGTCTTTTAAAGCCCGAATATTTGCGCTAGCCTTTATCTTCAAATTGCTTATCCTCTTACACAACTTTGTTTATTTTGACGTAAGCCTTTTTCTATCCACTGTGTGTCAACTCGAGTCGATGCACTTGTGTGCCAGGTTTTATATTGATTTGGTTAGTGTCATGCTGAATTCCAGTATCCTCTCATTTCTCCTTGCTTTCTTATGATGACCTTTAAACACTTTTGACTGCTTTCTTCTTTGCTTCTTCCTCTTGGTGCATTCTGGCTCCATATGGTGTTATGACGTTTAGCAACTTGGACCATTATGCTGCTAGGTCCTAAGTCGATAATTGTGATTTTGTCCATTTGCTCGAAATCATTTAGAAAGTCGTTCGTTGTAGTATCCATCTTTTTATGCTTTCGGTTAGTCCATGGGTTAGGTTGTCAGAATGAACACATTGATCCACTTCAAAATTTCCCAGTCTTTCCAAGATATGAAGTCGCAAGTTGCAACACGAACTTTAAAGGCTTTCTTGTATTGAAGTACCACAAAAGACAACAATCGGAGTGAAATGGAATGACATCAAAGTAAAACTTAGGCACTATTGTAGAGTATAACTCCATTATTACTCAAACAATAGAGGATGATTGGTCGGTGATTTACTCGTGTGAAGACGACTTAAACAATGGGCGGAATACTTCGAGGAATAATTCGACTGACCTCCAGCTCCTATTCCTTTGCGCGCCATCTTCTCAGATCCTGAAGAGAACATAGATATGGGACCTCCAACACAGATGAAGGAGCCAGTCGCGTCTGTTCGTCCGCATAGCTGGGGTTTGAATAGTCCCCGTTTGCTTATATTAACTTGCCCATGCATTGAAACCAGGTTTCAAAAAGCGTCTGTTGGTTAATAACCGGAAAACAACCGAGGTAAACGGATATCATTGGTGTTATACCTCGGTATGGATCTCATAAGTGGGATTCATCTATTTTCGATCTTGATATATATATATATATATATATATATATATATATATATATATATATATATATTCACTTTCCTATTCCTGGCCTAATCCATATGACTTAGTTTACCTGCCATTATCGCTCTTCTTTTGTTTTCACCCTTTTCGATTTACTTGTTCTGCGACTGACTAATTTTCGTTAAGAATGAAAAATAGAGTTTGAAAAAAGCAGTGCTGGTGAAGAAAAACATCAGCGTGGCGGTCACGAATCTCGCCTGGTTAAGTAGTTCACTAGTTATTAGACGGTCCTCGGACCCGATCACTGAAGAAACTTCCAAGCACAAAGAAGAAATAAACTTATTCTTCGCTGGAATCGGGAAGACGAAATGACACCGGTTGGTGAAAGCCTTCGAGAAGCCAATCTGCCAGTGTGTCTTCGCCTCTCTCGATGAAAGTAAAAGTAAGGATGGGACATGGAATATCCGAACAATGTTTTAAGCTGGAGGAGGAATTCTACGGACAACTGCAATCAGTAATGGATAAGACCACACCCCACTTGGCGACATCAAAATTCCAATGGGCGACATAAATGCCAACCTGGCCCAGACAACACAAGAAGAGAACTTATCATGGGTGGAGAAACACTTGGTGAATGAACGAGAATGGAGAACTATATGCAGATTTCCGCGCATTTAACGATTTAGTG